CCCAGAGATCAGGGTGATCCCTGATCTCCCTTCCTTCCGCCGCGCCCTTAAGACATGGTTATTCCAGCTTGCAGGACTGGCCTAGGGGAAATTTTTAGAGGGGGTTTTAATTATATTTTAATTAGATCACAGTTAAATATTTCCTTTTAATTAATTTTAATCTTGTAATGTATCTGTGTATTTTTACTCGATTGTTAGCTGCCCTGAGTCCGCAAGGAGAAGGGCGGGATATAAATTTAATAAAATAAATAAATAAATAAATAAATAAATAAATTCTTCAAGAATTGGAAAACTACAGTTTTTATTACTGTAGCTTCCATAAAAGCAAAGCTTTCTATAATGTGAAACTTTAGTAAATGATATATCCTTAGTGACTTGAAATACCCCTTCTTTTCCATTTTAGACACTACATCAGTAGCAGAGGCACGTCACAATCCTAGTATAGGGGAAGAAAGTGTTGGATTGACTGGAAGCCTAAGTGCAAGTGGTAGCCATATGGACAGAATAGGAGCCATTCGAGACAATCTGAGTGAAACAGCCAGCACCATGGCCTTGGCTGGAGCTAGCATAACAGGAAGTCTGTCAGGAAGTGCAATGGTCAACTGCTACAACCGGTAAGATAATGCATTCCAAGTATGAAACTCTAATTGATTATTTGGTACATAAGCTGTAATTAACAATGGAATAAAAAGTATATATTGTAGCCAACTGTTGTAAATTCTAATATCTGTCTCTTGAACATTTGTGGGTACATTCTGAAAACCGTGATTAAATTTAGTTGGATTAAAGGAGAACTCCAATTCCAATGATGGCAATCGATGTGGAGGGATAGGAATTCTAGCATACTTGGCTTTTATATTTAGTATTGGATTATGGTTTAGGGTCAAACATTCTTGCATGAAAATGGGATTGTTGTAAATCGAAAAACTTGTGATATGCTACTACACTAGAAGTTAACTGCTTATACTATTTAGAAGGAAATAATTTAATCCTGGCTATTTCTCATATGTAATTTTTTTTTAGGATTTACTACTATAATTTTTTAAGGGGTATTTCACTTAATTTGCTGTGAGAATTATTTTCTTCACTGGGTGGCTGGTAAACATTTAAAAGATTTCAATATGATATGAAAAATGCAAGTTAGTTATTGAGCTAATACTGAATTTTCACCAAGGTTGGAAGTCCAAGCAGATGTGCAGAAGGAAAGATGCAGTTTGAGTGGCGAATCTGGCACTGTCAGTTTAGGAACAGTGAGTGACAATGCCAGCACCAAAGCAATGGCTGGGTCCATTATAAATTCATATGTTCCATTGGACAGGTAAGTTTGAATTATGTTGGTAAAATCAGTATTTATATGCTGTGTAAGAAATTTCTGGTATGATTATAATTGATTATTTGCTGTCAAATTGATGTTGACTCTTAAGTGACTACATAGATATTAGTAAGAGCAATAAATAACCATGTCAAGTGCAGAGTATATTTTGTTTTTTAATTTAATTGATGAGCTTCTGCCATGTATATATCTAGGAAGGCATTTTGTCTAATAGCATGCAGAAGTTTAGGCATCTTGGATCATATTGTATGAAATTTCAACTCTGTCAACTTCTGAAGTCAAAACATGATTTGAAAGTCAAACTTTGCCTTGAAATCTGGTCAGATCTATAATATAGAATCCACATATCATTGCAGATTACTTTCTGAAAAAGAAGTATTAAAAGTAGTATTGATGAATCATCCTCTTAGCAAGATATGACATCTTTTTTCAAACTTTGAACTAATTGTTGCATATATGTTTTAAAATGCTGTTTATAACTGAATTTAACTGAGATGAGTTTGGACATGTTCTACCTTAAAACAGAACTGTTATCCTTTTTTCTTACTTAGAGATGGTAGCAGCATGGAGGTACAAGTAGACATTGAATCAAAGCCTGCAAAATTCAGACACAACAG